TCAGGCTTAGCAAAATGCTCACCTTCCTTTTCATCAGAATCATGTATGCCTTGTTTTGCAAACATGGTGCACATCAAGCAAGAAGATCACGGAGGATCTGGACCCCATCATTCTTCTATCTCATCTTCTTCTTGTTCCGTAAATCATGAAATAGGGACAGAAACGGATTGCGAAAACAATGACATCAAAAAACACGGTGACCTCTAAAAGCCACCCATTACCAGAATGCTAAGCTTACACTGCATGGCAAACATCAGACTTTCTAGGTTCATATACAGGTATGTGCAGAGGTGGGTAGATCAGGTCCAAAGAGTTAAAGATTTTGTTTCAGCCAACAAGTTGAGTATAAAGAGTCACAATCACAGAGTACTCAACTGGTTGGTTGAAACAAAATCTTGGGCCGGACTTTTACTCTCTGGACCTGAACTACCCACCACTGGGTATGTGAATTTCAGATTTTACTTTGCCCTTTACCCATTTTTAGCGGTCATCATAGGTAATATTAAGTCATTGTCTTAAAATCAAATAAATAGCAATGCAAACAATTTTTAAAAATCATTTCTGACCTGCTCCTGCCCCTAAATAAAGAATAGAACAATTGAAGAGCAAATTTCCAAACCTCACTCAGTCCATTTTTTGTTCTTTTTGAGATGTGCGCACCAATGAGCCAAAGCCAAGCATATTACCAATCCTCTCTCAGTCCTCACGTAATCCAACAAAAAACTTTAGTTACATTTATATTAATTTTCTAGAACACGTATCCCGTGGACTGAAATTTGCTCTTTGCCCTTTCTGACGTCTGCTTTGCTTTAGGTTAAAGTCCATGTGTCGATACAAGCAGGCAGAAATAAAGATGCTGAGTAATTAAGGCTGTATCAGATTAGCAGGCTGCATACACCCAGCTCAGGATGGGAAGTGCATCATGGCCTGTGTTTTCACTGTGCTGCCTGCGCCACCCCTCTTAGGCCTTTCCTGTGTAAACCTGGGCAGTGGGCTTTGTGTCAGGTTGCTTTCTGATGATGGAGCAATGTGCTGTGCTTGATAATCATGAACGTTTTGTACCCCTCCAGTAAAAGCTGCCTTTATCGACCGCCCTGCTGCTTTGCGCCAGGCACTGTGAGACTGCTAATGTGATCCCTTTGTTCCTATATATGGCTTGTGGATGCTGTTCAATGTCCAGAAAAAAATGACTCAGGGGAGAATTACAATGGGACACATCGTGACAAAGAGGTCACTGACCGTATCTGAGGAACACAGCACATTCCTGCTCATGACACCATTTTCCCCATGTGGGTGGAAGAGCTGCTTAAGTTTTCTTTGGGGAATTATACTTAACATACCACCTAGGGTGTGCCCTGTGCTGGCCAGGATGGGTCCCAGAATCCCCTTAGGTTCTCACTGGGATCTGTGTCTGGAAGATGAATGCATGGATGGAGGTATGCTTAATAAAACTGTATACGCAGCTTGGTCGCTCTCCACGTACTTCATGAACTGACCTGCTTTCGTTACTTAGAAAGTGTTGCTTTAAAATTAGGCAAAGCTAAATATGCCTCGGCATTGCATTTCACACTACATTTATTTATTTAGCACACAGTTCTGTTTAAAGAGACATACGCATGAGGACAACGAGCTTGGGGTCAGAGAGCAGCTTTAGAGAGCGTCTCTGGAGTGGGGGGGGCTGAAGGGCCGCACTCAGGGGTACAATGGAGACATTTTTACTCTGCTGGTCATGGGATTCAAACCTTCTGGGAAGCTGGATCTTATCCCATGGCAGTCTGATGTAGCGGGGTGAGCGCACGCACACACACACACACACAGACACACACACGCACATATAGGGTAAACATATCCTTATGGGGACCTAACGCTAACTATGACAACCTTAACCCCTACCCTGCCCTAACCATAACCATAAGTAACCTAACAAAATACAAGAGTTTTTGCATTTTTAGTTTTTTCATA